TTTCATTCTCCAGGGCCCTAAAGTTAACCAGCTGGAATCATTTTTTAAGGAACATCCTATTTAACCTGTGGAAATGGAGCACCTGCCTTTTAATGAAAAAACTACTTCTCATTGTAAACATAGCACACAATGTTCTTGGCTTCTTTAGTCTCCAGAAAAGGTAATTCAGATATCTCTCCATGTCCTCAACTCTATGTTGAACCTCCTATGTCAACAAAACAGGCCGGATTAATATCTAACTTTTTTAAAAAATAGTAAGTGGAAAGTATCAGCCCATCCTGATAAGCACTAGACAGGACAGCCTACGTAGACATATCTGCCTCTCAGGAAGTGGTGGGGGGGCTTAGGTGTTGGGAACCGCCCTGACTGGTATCAGAGGCTGAAACCCCCACCTAGGCTAAAGCTAAGGGAACACCCTTGGAACTGTAAGCCGGCAAGGAGACAAAAGCTTATCTTCCTGGCAGGAATGCTGCTTCTGCTGCTTTATTCATGACTGAACCCCCAAAAGCTTGGTCGGTTAGCCAAAGACGGGTAAGATTGCCCACGGGGGGAACGACCTAAGCCAGGCACGATCACTTTTGGGAGGCCCCCCAAAAGAAGGACTTGGGGGGCTGCAGCAAAAGGGGGTGATGGACCCTCGCTCCTCGGCTTTGACGTAGCCTGAGTTCTCAGCGTCTGGAAGAAAATCTCCTTATCTCTCAGTTGCCTTAGTTCCCTTGCTCCACCTAAGCCTGAAACAATGACAGGGTGGTACAGCTCGGTACTGAGAAGTGCGGATTTCCCAGGGTGATCAGGCCTAAGAAAGAATATGTAAATTACTGTGAAACCTTCTTTGTTTAGAATGCTCTCAGTTGAATGAGAAGGGTCTTAGGAGGAAGTTATTTTGTTCCTCAGTCTTACAGCTCTTTGACCCCCAACTCAATAGACCGGCAGAGTTCTTTGTTTTCTATAGTTCCTTACTTCCCCTAATGAGTACTGTACTTTACCTGAATTATTATGCAAAATGAGCCTAATAAAAGCAGGTATGGACGGTAAATCAGCGCACTCCCCACTATGGGGGGTGGCCATTTCGTCCCTACTTCCCCACAGAAACTAGTTTGTCTCTGCGCATGTTGTTATTTCTCGCGTGTTTATCGTCGAGCCATCCACAGCGTTCCGTGGTCACTGCTGGCCGGTGACCCACGCGCAACACTTAGGAAACTAGAGATTGAAGGACCCCACATAACCAACTTCAGAGCACCATATTCAGACAACAGACCAAGTTTACCATGCATTCAAAAGTTCTATTCCTTAAAAAGCATCAACAAAGTATGATTTGTTAATCAATTAGTTAACTTAATATTCCTACTTGGCACAAGCCCCTGCTGGTGTATAGCTATGCAGTGGAGAGAGTGCCCTTCTTTAAACATGCTATAATCCAACAAAGGAACTAAGATAAGGAAAGACTAAGACATTGGTCAACAGCACAAGGCAACGGTATGGGTGTCAGCAAGTTCAGACCATCCATACACAAGAGCATTTACTGTATGCCAAGTGCTTTACATGTATTTTCTCATTAAACCTTCACAACCCCTTGAGATATATACAATTATAGTCTCCTTCGAGAAGTTGAGTAACATACCCAAAGTCACAGTTAAAAAGTGGTTTCAAGCTCAGCTCTCTCCGATTCTAAAGTCCATGCTCATAGCCTCTGAGTCCCTAAGGCTTGCAGAGTTCAGGGACAAAGAGAGCTTGAGGCTGGTGTGAAGGCAAGGCTTGATGAGGAAGGGGACTCTGAACTAGACTTTAAACAGGGATAACCCTGAGATGGGCCAGAGAAGGAGAAAGGTTGATGCATGGTGAAGACAGAGGGTATAGACAGAGGACCAAAGAGAAAGGCAAAAGGAAAAAAAGCAAGGCCAGCTCTTTGAATATAGCCATTTTAGAGCAAGAGATAAGTAAAGATAAGCTCCATTGTAGGTCATATTAACAAGTCCCACCTTCTCCTTCCTTATAAAATACCATCCTACACAGAAAGGCTTGAAGAGGTAACGAAGAGAAGGGTCGGTAGGAAGTGAATCTTTTTTTTTTTTGGCCCTCATTCTGCCCCTCTCTTGGCCCCAGTGCAATATCTCAGGCACTCCACCCAGCCAGCCCATTGTCTGTGCCATAAGCCTTTGCAGTCCTACATCCCAAGAAGGGCAGCATCTTAGCCTAAGGTCATTGGGCAGAGCCTGGCTGGTTCCAAGTGGAACTGGAACTCGATTCCTTCTACTGGCTCTGGACTCTGAGCCAGAGGGGTTGCGGGTATGTGTGTCAGGATATCCTCAGTCTCCTGTTAGACAAGCAGCCTTCCAAGAAAGATGGGGCCAGGTCTGTGGCATGTGTTGTAACTGTTCAAGGCCAGACAGGTTCACAAGATTCGGGCAGATGGAAGAATATTCATGGAGTCATGGGGATGCTTGATATGCCTTTATTCAAGTGGGGGGGGGGCAATCCACGCATGCTGCAAGCAGTGTGTCCCCCTGCCTGTCACCTGTCCCCCTGTGTGGCACCCAGCAGGGAGTCCCTACCCTCTTAAGTACTAGATACAAAGAAAGCCAGCAGGGTGCCAACAGATATTATGCAACAGAGCTTCATACTACGCATGTGAGCCCACTCAAGGGTATGGGAACAGTTTATCGGACCCAGTCTCAAGGATATAAGAATACCACTTATCAGGCCCATTCTCAAGGTTATGGGAAACTGCTCCCTGGGTGAGGAAGCCAGACTGCCTCCGTTTACCCTACATGGTGTAAGCAGAGTTTTGTTCTTAAGTCATACCATCACCACACACGTTTCACATAGAAATGCCCTCTCTAAACAGCCTTTCATACATTCATTTGTTCACTCACACATTCCACAGGCAATTATTGAATGGTCATTTCAAGCTAGGAACTGTGCCAGGTGTGGGGGAAGTCTGGGTCAAAACGAGACATGGCCTGTAACCTCAGGAGCTGTATGTTCTGTTGATGGTGGTTGCTGGTGACAGAGGGTCAGTCAAGAGTAACTGTAATGAACGTTGTGATGAAGAGGCTCAGGAGGCTCCACGGGACACTCGGGAGGCTCCACGGGACTCTAACTGCCCACACTGTAAGCTGCTTGTCTTCATTCTTACACGTCCAAAGTCCATCACTGTGCCAGGCAGATAGTAGGTGCTCAGTAGGCTGTTAGTGAATTAACAGTAGGCTGACCCCCAACCCTGTTCCTCTGTGTCTTCTCCCCAATTGGAAGAAGCCTTACAATTGGCACCCTAAGCCTGGATGACAAGAGGTAAGGGTACATGGCAATTTTTCAATTAGGTTACAGTATGTTAGAGTTGGGAGGAACTAGACAAGGTTGTCTGTATCATCTCCCTTCCCTTTCAGACATCATGTCCCTACAGTGGGGGTCCTTCATCAGCCACTTGGACTAATTGCTCCTCGTCCAGATGGTCTTCTAAGAAAACTCAAGGTGGTCAATGTTCCTATTAAAACTCAGGAATCCAGACCTTGACACAGAACTCAGAAGTAACTTTGGTTTTCTTGTGCTTCCCCAGAGGTTCTACCCCGGCTCACACTACTGAGTAGTGGGCGAGAAGTCTGAGACTCCCTGGACTCCCTCCTTTGTGAGTGTGGGGGGATGTGGAACCCACTTACAAGAATTGGAGTGTACACCTTTGGGGAGGAGATGGTTACAGAGCTCTTCCCATTAAGTCCTAACATGCTTGCTTCCCCATCATCCTACTGGTTCCCTCAGTGCAAAAACAGCTGTGACCCACTATGCTAGAGAAAATCCGTTCTCTCTGACAGCTCCAGCTGGCTCCATGGGCCACCTCCTCTGAGATAATGGGCTGGGGAAACAGCGATCACAGCTTCTGGTTGGGGTCCTCCTGCACCACAGGGGCCTCCTGCAGGCCCTGGGGCCCTGGGGCGGCAGAACCATTCCGAAGAAAGCTGAGAAAGACAGAGAGCAAAGCGTATGAGAAGTGACTCTATGTTTGGGGGACAGTGGCCCTTGAAACACAGCAGGCATCTGAGCTGACAGGAAAGGGAGGTTGTGAAGGAGTAACTAGGCATCTGCCCCCTCGAGCAAGGCAGACTAACATACAGCCTGGAAGGGGGCTGGCTGGAGTCCCAGCCCTTCAGCCAGAAACCTCCTCGGAATCAGTCCAGAGCTGTCTTGGGACATGCTCAAAGGCCCCTAGCTGGGCAGTGGCAGAATGTGATTAGAACCAGGCCTCTTGATTTCCACTCTTGAATTTTTTTTCTCATCACCCAGCCACCTCCCAGGGATGGGTCTTATGGGAATGTTCTTGACCTGTCAAATCCTGTAACTTTCCCTTCAAAGACCACTCCTGATTGCCAGACAGGGCTGGGCTTTTCTGTTTCTGACCAGTGGCCTTCTTAACCCTCCAATGTCAACTGTTTCGCTGTCCCTATCCACCCCCTTCCTGGAAAAGATCTAGTGGGGTCTTCAGGAGTCCTGCGATGGTGGGAGGAGCCCAGCCACAGACCTTCCAGGAACAGTGGGCATGTGCCTTGGCATCAGGGCATGCTGATCCTTCTCTCCAGAGAGGGCAGTGTGTGGGGAACGGGGAGGAATCCAGCGACTTCTTGGCAATACAAATTCCTGCTCTCCCCCTCAGTCTGACCCTTGTCTGGCCGTCTGAGCCAAGGCAATACCGACAGGCAGGGCAGTTTGGAAAAGAAGGGAAAGGCGAGTTTGCTGGTTTGCTTGGCCTGCATCGAGCATGAGCCCTGTCTACCCCTCCTCCGCGGGCTGTCTCCACTAGCTCCTCTCCCGTCTACCCATCTCCGCCCTCCTGTCCCTCCGGGCTGCTCGGGCGCCACTGCTACTGTCCCCAACCTGCCCCACCAGCCGGGCTAAAGGGCTGTGTGACTCACGACGCTGCCACCAGCCCACGGCTTGCCCGTGGCGTATAAAGGTTGCCCCGGCGGGAAGCGCCCCAGCCCTGACCGCTGGCCCGAGGAGCGCAGAGCATGGCCCGAAGCGCGGAGCGAGACTGCGGGGGCGCAGGCTGGGGGCTGCGCGGCGCCCTGGCCGCCGTGGCCCTGCTCTCAGCGCTCAATGCCGCAGGAACGGTGTTTGCGCTCTGCCAGTGGCGCGGGCTGAGCGCAGCGCTGCGGACCCTGGAGGAGCAGCGGGCCAGGGAGCAGCGAGAGGACAGCGCCCTGCGCGCCTTCCTGGAGGAGTTGAGTCGCGCGCCGCGCTGGGCGCCCGCGCCACCTTCAGACCCTGTAGGCGCCGCGCGCAATAAGCGCAGCCAAAGCGGGGAGCCAGTGCAGCACCTCCGAGCGGAGAGCCAAGACATGCTGATGATGATGACCTACTCCATGGTGCCGGTAGGCGGGGCTTGACTCCCCAGGGCACCCCTGCCTCGGTGGGCTGCGGGCAGTGTGGGGGAAGAGCTCCACGCCCTCTCCTCCCTTGGCCAGGTGACAGGGGGTTGTGGAGAGAGTGCCCTGAGGTTATCATTTTAGCCCTCAGGGGTCAGTGTCTTCATCAGTTAAATGAGGAAGAGGTGAAGGGGTAAGTCTTCCACCTCTGACTCCAGTTGAGTCTGCAGGTGAATGAGGGGTATAGGCAGTGTTTGTAAGAGCTTACTTTTCTTCCTAACTTTGGACAAAAGTTTTCACTTTCTGGTGTGAAGGGCTCTGCCTCACTGAGGCCCATGAGAGCAGGGAAGCAGCACATCTGAAAGGATGCGGGCTTCTTCGATAAAGGGATTCTTTTCCTGGCATAATCTGGTGTCTGGTTCTTCATTTGGCCTCGGTCCCCACGAGATTGCTGACCTAATTGTCTCTGTTTAAGTGAAAAAAAATCAGCCCTAATTTTGCTAACCACCTAGGACCTTGATGCTCAGAAACTTGCTCCTGGGCCTAAAGCGATTTTCTTAAAGTGTCAGCGCTGATGGTTCTATCTATGGAGCCTGTAGCGCTCCAGCAACCCTTGCAGGCAGCGCATCTGGGAGGATCCCTCCCTTTTCATTATATTTTCAAAGGTGCATCACTGCACTCGAACCCAAAAGGTTCGGGAAACACTGATCTAAAGAGATTCTTTAAAGCAAAGCCCTCAAAATCTTTTTTTTCCAGTGTTAAGTTTCTTCACTTTTGGTAATTTTTAACTCAGCCGTTGTCTAACAGTCGCATGAAGATCGCATTGCTGTTCCCCATTCCACTTGATCGTCCATCACAACGGTCTCACTGCACTGTGCAATTACAACGGTTTCAGTTCTGCCACCTCAAGTCAAGTGTGGGGAGGCATTCGGGACCCTAGGGATTTGAAGATCAATCCACTTACCACTCTGTTATCATAGAAGCTTTTACATATCTTATGTGAGCTGAAATGCTTTTAAAACTACATGGAAGTACTACATACTGCAAACACATTTTTTGAAAGATCAAATTTTCTATCCCTGGCTTCATTTTTTTAACCCATAAACATTTAAAAATCTGAACCTAAGCAAAAATTTCAAAAACAGACCTCTGTAAAATGAAGAAATATCGTTAGGGGAATTTGCTCTCTCTCTCGTCTCTCTGCTGTGCATTTTGAGGGGCTTTTTTAGAACCCCCAGGAAGGATGTGCCTGAGCATCAACATTTCACATTTTTAATCCTGCTTTTAAAGTAGAGGCTTATGTATCCAAATTGTAGCCTGTTCAGCCACTAACTCAAGAGAACAGACTCATCTCAGTGTCCGTCTGAAAGCTAAATTTAACTACCACCACCTGCTCTATTACAGGTCAGAGAGCAGAAATCACATTTATCTGGCTAAGAAACTTTTATAGATTATCACCAACTAACCACTCCGCCACTTGCAATGGGTATGCTTTGGCTTTTTAAAGCCATTGAGGGAATTTCCATGCTGCCTTTCCTCTTCGGAGTAGTTCTCAAGCAGTTGGCACATTAAAATGTAGATTCCAGGGCTCTACCCTCAGACATAAAATCATAATTTCCTCACCCTCCCAGCACACAGTGAGTTTGATGCAGGTGGTTCGGGTGCCACACTTTGAGAAAGGCTGCTCCAGACCATCTCTAACTTAAATGTGCTTATGAATATCTTAGCGGTCTTGTTGAAGTGCTGATTCTGATTCAGAAGGTCTAAGTTGGGGCCTGAGATTCTGCATTTCTAACACGTCCCACTGATACTGAGGATGCTGGTCTGAGGACCACACTTTGAGTAGCAGGTTCTAGAGCAGCAATTGCACATTGAAATTGTATGGGTAGCTTTCAACATGACTGCACATGGACCCCAACCCCGGAGACTCTGAATTAGTTGTCAGGGGTGCAGCCTGGGGGCGGGTGCCCACTCACGAGCAGGAAGGCTAGGGCATGACTTCCCAATGACAGAAAGCTGCCCTAAGCATCTCACTCTCACCGGGTCCCCCTTGAGGCTTCTGCTTCAGGCACCAGAACCAATTTTATTACTGAAAAGCCCTTTTCTTCCTTTCTTCTTTCCTTCCTCCTTCCCTCCCTCTCTCTTTCTCTCCCTCTCTTTCTTTCTTTCTTGGCAACATTCTCTCCATTCACCTTCGCAAATTTTTCTCATGTTTACTCTGACTTTCTCAGAACAGAGAATTATTCACTTGAGGAAACAGTTTTTAAAAAAGAACTGTCTGTAGGGCACCACTAGTAGAGAAGTTGCTAAAAGAACTATTTAGTCCACAGGCGGTCAGTTGGTGCGCACACTTGTTAAGGTTGAAGTCTACACCCATGAGGTCCCATGTCCTTAGAGATCTAGGAACAAAGAAATAAGCTGTACAGAGACTAATATCATTATTTTAAAAAGTCCTCCAAAATGGCTCATTTACCCATAATGAGCCTTCCCAAGCTAACAGAATTCAGAATTCTGTGCTTTTGGCTGAAAGTACATCGACTCAGCGTGGTAATTCTGGCTAGCACATTCTGACCAGGGACTGGTTGGCAGCTGTAAATAACTTTGTTAAAAGGGCAGTGTAACTAATTACCACTTAAGGACAGTTAAATCTGTCATCCTGCACAGAAACTAGGGTTGAGCACCCAGTAGGAAAAAAGTTTTACTTCTTACAAAGGGCACCTCAAGCTCTGAATGGATCAAAAATTTACAGTTTAAGAAATGAAGCTTTAAAATTACTAGAAGAAAATATGAATAACTCATTTTTAATCTTGAAATGGGGAAGGCCTTTATTTCAAACTATAACTTGAAAGCGAGAAGCAAACAATAAATAAATAAGCTTAACTACATTTAAAAGCACATACAACAACAAAACTTCTGTATAGCAAATAACAACAAGAAGAAACAAACATGCGCCATCAACAAAGGTAAATAACAAACTGGGGAAAAATATTTGCAGCTCATATCATATATACAGGGCTGATCATCCCCATGTCTATACAAGCTCTCCTAGAAGATGATAAGGAAAAAGCCCAAGAATAATATGGGTAAAATCAGCAACAGAAATAGGAATCAAGTAGGAAAATGGAACACAGTTCTCAGAAAAAGAAATGTGAATGTCTCTTAAACACACAAGGAAAGATCTCTTGATTTAAAGACAGGAATTATGATGACCCTGAGTAGTTTTTACCTGTCAGAATGACAAAACCACAAGAGTTTGAAAACACTCTCTGCCGAGGATGCGGAAGGGACATAGACATACACTTGCATTGCGGTTTGCTGTGCAAAAGGGTGCAGCCTATGAGGAAGGCTACTTACCGACACCTAAAAAAATTACAAATACATTTATCCTCTGACCCAGCACTTTCACTTGTGGGGATTTATCCCGCACAACAGGCTTTACCACCTATGAAATGGCATAAGCACATAGTTGTTCACTGCACAGTATGTGTAAAAGCGAAAGACTTTCAATGATCTCAGGACTCGTCAGGCTGGCCTGTACACCCCCTGGGACACGAGGTGGCTGTAACACAAGGAGGCCGTTCTCTTTGCTCTGCTGTTGGAGCAATCCCCGGGGTATACTCATTTCAAGTGAGGAGAGCAAAGCAGTGAAAAGCATGTATTGCACTACTTTGTGTAAGGAAGAAGAGGAAAAATACACGAAGAAATGAACAAAAGTGCTTGCTTAGGGAGGGTGGGGATACAGTGGGAACAAGCCTTCCACTGTATAGCTTTGTGTATTATTTTGACTTTTGAACCGTGTGATTGTGTTACTCTTTCGTGAGTGAAAAGGCCATAAGCACAAGGTTCTGTGGCAGCTGCCAGCGGGCTGGAGGTGCTGGAGCGTGGTAGGGAGCCGGCCGAGGTTCCTGTGCTCCACCTAAACAGGAGGCTCTCGCTGATTGTTGCCGTGTGAGAACGAGAACCCAGTGTGCCTGACCTTTTGATTTTTTTCAAGAGAAGTTAAAAAAATCTGACTTTTTATGTAAAATCACTTGACTTTTAAATATTGACAAAAATTAAAAAAAAGTGTTTTTTAATTGGCCAACAGTGTGTTGGCCAAACAACACATCGTTAGGGGCCACGTTAGGACTTCCAAGCCCAGTTGGTAGCAGTCGCAGCCTGTGATCATGGGTGGTTTGGGACAAAAATGGCTTTATGTAGCTCGGCCCCAGCTCCGTGCCGCACTGTTATTTCCCAGCCTGATTCTGATAGGATCAGTCGTGGTGCCCTCGTTATCATTATCGTTGGTTGAGTAGAGATGGCTTTTTTGTGTTTGGTTTGGCTTTTGTTTTGTTTTGTTTTGTTTTGTTTTGGGAGCTGTTTCTAAAAATCAACTCCGCCTTCAGTGGATGGAGATTTTCCTTCACTGTGGGTTTCCAGAAGCATGTGTGTACTTCTGAGGCTGGTTCTCAGGGAGCAGAGTCCAGCTGTGCTAAGCAGTAACACGTTATTGCAACAAACAGAGCTTTTCAGGACGACTGCTATGAGGCACATGTTTGTGGATCTCTGCATTATCTTGTTTAAAGGGGAAAAAATCCCATTACCCACAGTCACAGCTCCCATTTGCATGGATGCTCTATTTCCTTGAAGGCCCTAACCCGGCTGTGCCAGGGTTTACTTCCCTCTCCCGCCCCTTGGACTGGGTCACTTCCACGTGGTATAAAAGCTGAGGATTTCGTGCCAGCATCGACACACTGTGGCCTACAGGCCCAATCCAGCCTGCCACTTGTTTTTGTACAGCCCACAAAGTAAGGATTGTTTTTACATTTATAAGTGATTAGGGAAAAAAATCAAAAGAAGAATCATACTTCACGACTCATCAACATATGAAATTCAAATTTCAGTGACCATAAAGAAAGTTTTATTGGCATACAACCATGCCCGTGTGTTTACATATTGTCTGTGGATCCTTTCACACGAAACAGCAGAAGTGAATAGTTGTCACAGAGACCAAATGGCCCACAAAG